CTTGTAAGATTTCATTTGTAAGAAATAATTATGTAGAGAATCTGTTCCATTTATAGCTACTCCTAAATTTTAACTGTAGCATGGCCCAATTTCCTTGCTTATCTTGAGGAGGAATTAAGAGTTACGACAATACATGGTAAAGGCCCATAGAAGCCACTACTCCGTACTACTACCATGCCCCCAAATGAAGGTACATATAAGACATAAATTACCAGTCGATTTAACATCTGCTCAAGAGAAAGAGAATAAAAAGAAATAGATAAGGATGAAATCAATTTTATATGTAGGACCAATGTTGAAAATCAATATATATATACATATATATATATATATATTATTACTTATCTTCAGTGGAGAAAGTTGATTCCCAAGAATTAAAACCGCTTCGTACACATACAGTGTTAATTAATAGTTTGACATTTTTTCGTCATTCACGTAATCATCAATCTGACCTTCGAAAGGGAGAAAATGGGCAGGATCTTAGCAACCATCCATTTCTTTTTATTGTGACATATTATTGTCCATTTTGATTTTTGACCAAGTTACCTTGTATCCAATTAACATTATCAAATTAATATTTAATAATATATAAAAATTATGTAAAAAATTATATTAAAAAATTATCTATATATTATTCTCTAAAAATTATTTAAGAAAACATTTGTAAAATACTTTTCCCATTTTAATTTCGTTACATAGTTACCTTACCAAACGGCCCAACCTACCATTCCAAAACTCCCAACATTAATATTTTATTAATATATTCTTCTTTTTATTTTTTGTACGTAAACATATGTTAATTTAAATTAAAAGAATTTAATTTTTTAAAATAAAATTTTAAATTTAATTTTTACAAATGAAGAGGTAAATAATAGGAGAATCTCTTTTTATAAAGTTTGATATAATTTAATTTTAAATTAATTAAATTTTAATGTAATTTCCATAACAGTGATAAAAAAAGAGATCAACATCCCTTTTTGTTTCTTTGGTAAACGAAGAAAAGTTAAGGGATATTAATTCTTCTTGTGGTGTATATTGCGAGGCTCCATTTCACCAAAATACGCAATAGAAAGATATAATACTCAAATCCTTTTGTTCCTTGCTTCCAAACAACACAAACTTGCTACAAAAAGAAATGGCCAAGAGCAAGGTACTTGTCGTCGGAGGAACTGGGTATATTGGTCGGAGGATCGTGAAGGCGAGTTTAGCTCAGGGGCACGAGACCTATGTCCTCCAGCGGCCAGAGATAGGGCTTGACATCGAGAAGCTGCAGATGCTGCTGTCATTCAAAAAGGAAGGGGCTCTACTCGTTGAAGGCTCCTTCAACCATCACAAGAGCTTGGTGGAGGCGGTCCGAAAGGTAGACGTCGTCATCTGCACCATGTCGGGAGTGCATTTTCGAAGCCACAACATCCTCTTGCAGCTCAAGCTAGTGGATGCCATTAAAGAAGCAGGAAATGTAAAGGTATATATTCATCATTTGTTTAATTTATCAAATTCTTCGTTATAAAGAGTCTTGCATATATATATATATATATGCAAATCTCTATTTAGAGGAGTGCTAGGAGGACTGCTCCAGAACTCTCCCTTCAGCAATCGCTCCTCTATTTAGCTACATCACTGATGATTTTAAGGCCCATAATTGGAAACTGGTAATTGTAGGTGACCACACTTTATTTCAATTAAATTAAAATACATATAGTTTTATAAACAAAGAAAAAAAAAAAACTTGTATAATACAATACTCAAATTACATGAATGAATGTCTTTGAACTTAGTTTTTCCCTTCCTTCGTGTAAACTAGAACTACTCATCTATTCTTTTCCAACCAGAACCAGGCTTTCTCTATCCTCTGTTTGTACTAGACTTTCTCTCTTCCTCCTCTTGCATTAGATTTAGCTGCAAAAACATGCTAGGTTGAGCAACGAACCTAGATCTATAGGTATTTTTGCTCCTTTTGCAGGTATTTTTAAGAGAGAGCCAAGTTTAGTTGTCTAGGTAAGGGATGTTTTATGCAACTATCGTCGGCGTTGGTAGAAGGGGATGTGGCTCCTTCTATGCTATGAAGATTATGAAGATAAATTTGCAGTGGATAAATTTGTAGAGGAATGTGTAGCATAAGTTTATTGTGAAATTTTTTCCTTGTAGAAGAATAAGAAGAATAGAATCCAACAAATCTGTCTCAAACTCATCCACCCAGTCATCATCCACCTTTTGCTTTTGACCACAACCCAAAAACCTTCTTCTTTTGTCCTTCATATTTCTGCAAACCATCAATATAAATTGCAACACTTTTCAATTCTTCTCCTCTTTTTATGAATATTCCCATGAAAATTAGGAAAATTTCATAATATTACTTCCCATTTTCCTTATCTACTTGATTCTCACCAACCAAGAAAAGGTTAAAAAAAAAAACAAACAAACAAACAAAACCTCTATTGCGAAATCCAAGTTTGAAATGAAGATATGGATTAAAACACTGAAAATCTTGTGGGAGAGAGTGATTATTAAAGAGAGGAAAGTAGAAAAGGTAAAATAGAAAGGTTGGTGTTGGATTAAAGTCTAGGATTGACCTTCCGATTTTTAGGGAGCAAGATCAAGACTGGTTTGAGAAGAGTGATGGTGATAGGGGATGGAGACGGATGCGAGAGAAAAGAAATATATTCTCAAATTTTAATTTTTAAATAAAAAAAAAA